CAAGGAGTTGTCTGTGTGTGTGTGTGTGTGTGTGTGTGTGTGTGTGTGTGTGTGTGTGTGTGTGTGCTGTGCCTGTGTGTACGTCTGTACCGACTTTTCATCTTGAGACCTAGAAAAGCTATGAAGCAGAAAATCTGATGACTTAATTTACATGCGTGTACGGGCCACCACCCCCAAAATGGACGCTCTTGCTCACGTGGTTCCCATATACGAGACCGCGAAAGGTTTTGGAAGGTAAGCGTTGCTAATGCGGAAGGCAGAAAAGCGAGAAAGCTGAAATTTTAAGAGGATGTTTTCTCACAGTCTTGGTGGCCAGTCTCAATTCTTTTAGCTAGAAGCATCTGCTGGAAAAAAACAGTGCCGTTATTGACAAAAATCTGCGGAGAACCATGCAAAAAACGTATCTTTGCACCGGCAGTCGGTGCGCTGGCCAGTTATTCACTTATGCGGTTGGCGACTTCTTCAGTTGCCTTGACCAGTGCTGTAGCATGGGGTTGCAAGAATCAGGGGGATTCTGATATTGGTTTCTCCTACCGACAGAATTACTGGCTGAATGATTCTCGCAAAAGAAGCAGAATTTTAATTGAAACAAATCTCCATGTTGCTGTAGTGCTTCGGTAAAGCAAGCCGTTTTTGCATTTCAGCAAAAATCAAAACAATTTCTTTGCGCATTAAGTCTACTTTTGCAGTTGGCGTTTTTGCTTCGGCGGATAGCTATAACGAGCACGGGCTATCCGGCAAAAGTTTTCTCCCTGTTATCTGTATTTGGTGGTGGCGTATTTCTGGCCACATGTCTTTTGGACCTTCTGCCCGATGCATTTTCAACACTTCGGCGAGTTGAAAAACTGGAGAAATTCACTTACCACTATCCGATTGTTGAAACTCTGATAGCTGTTGGATTTTTACTGGTGCTTTCAACGGAACAGGTAATTTCTCATACTTTTATTGACACTCATTAGCAATGGCCCACCTCGCTTTCTATTGAAAATTTACTATGGTGCTTCCTCCTACCGTACAATCCTGATACTTCAAATTCAGCCTTCTCGTACACGTTAAATTTCGCATGGGGAATTTTTAGTCCAGGAACTAAAGCAGAAAACGAAAATTGTTCGGAAGTATTTCCTCTTCATATACGAACCTAGCTTTCATGTTCCCCTACGTAGGGCACGC